TGGGTTCTGAACAGTAATGACTGGTTTTGATGATGATGATGCAGTTTATAATGGGTTAGAACAACGACAAAGGTTTCAACATGACTTTTCTATCATTTGACGAGTGCAAGAACTCTAATCCCTCTTTCCTTCCCCTTCTTACAAAGTCACCAACCATCTTGCAAATGCCGCTCCACATGAACCTTTCTATCATCTCTTCCACCAAATTCTTTTTTCATAGAATATCCACCACCTTTCTTCTCTTTCTCTCTCTTAGGGACTAAAATGTTTGTCGGTAACAATCTCAAAGATTAAAATACATGTTGGTGATAATCTTAGGGACTAAAATGCCCAACTAGTTATAATTTTAAGGACTAAAATAAAATGAAAACATATATTATACCACATACGATGTCGTTTTTACCATGTAAGCAATGATACGTGTCACTTAGGTGACATATCAGTATTCTATTACTGTCTGTTAATGACGTCTAGGTTTATGGATTTAAATGCACAACAGAGATGAAAATCAGAGACTAACGTAATATTTTAAATTTTTTAGGGACTAAAATGCAAGACACAAACTTTCTTAGGAACCAAAATGAGGATTTAGTCGTTAAATTTTCTTTATCAAAACTTTTTTTATTTATATTTTGATCATTTGTAATCTTAGCCTTAAGCACTTCTATTGAAATAGCAAACAAAAAACATGTTAAAAATACTCAAGCACAGGTTTGTTTCAAAATGTTAGGCACAAATGTGAGATTATATAAATTGTTTTAAGAAAAATGCTAACATCAACACACTCTTTTTAACATGTTTTTATTTATTAACTAACATTTATTGAAAGCTACAAAAATATTTAATTCTCATTTTTTGTCATTTTTAAATTAATATTTTTCTTTTATATTTTTTAATATATTTTAACCAATAATTAGGTAGAAGTATATTAAATAATTATGCTAAAAAATGTGCTCGCTAACATTCATCTTTTTCTAATCATATGACATTTCTATATGGCGTTTAAAATCAATTGAAATTGATTTTCTAAAAATAATTTAGACAATTAAACTGTTTACAACACTTAATTTGATATGTTGACTTTTTAAAATGATTGATTGGGATATACCTAAATTTCTTTAAAATAAAATAATTTTTTATTTTGTAATTAAAAAAATAAAATTTACAAGAATTAAAAAAATAGGCATATAATGTTTTTATTCTCTAATTTTAAGGTAAGTTTTAATTTCATTTTTTAATTTATTTTAGTTCATTTTAATCTTTTAATTTGTAAAAATATTTCAAATAAGCTATTTTCTGTTAAAAATATTAATTTTATTAAAAAAATTATCATTTTCTACCGCATGTATTATGCAGGTAGTGTTCATCGTCTTTCTCATATATTTTCTATTTATGTTTCCTCCACTTCTTATTCTTCCTCTCTCTTTCGTCTTCTTTTTCTTTTTATCCTTTTCACAACCATAACCACTCCATTAGACATCGATCGTAGCCTTAGAAGAACATCTAAAACCTCTATTTTCTAACATTTCTATGACTGCCCTCATCAAATTGACAATCTGAACATACCTTTTTTACTATTCACTATCACAACCTCTCCGACACCCTTACCATGACTATATCTCCCTTCTAATTGATGATGCTTAAGTGCCCCAATTTGTTATTAGCATAGTTTCCCGAGTTTTATTAAAAAAATATTAAGAGAAAAGTTAAAAGAAAACTATAGCTAAATTAACAGTGGACCACGTGGTAATAATGATACCATAACATTGTTTTACTATAATAATTCATATGGATAGCTTGAGTAGTCTTTATCCTCTCAATTTGCCGGTTTTTTATATTATTTTTCTGTTGGGTGAAATAGCAAACACCAACTAATTGATATCATTTGGTAACTTATTGCATTTGAATTTTTGTTATTAAGAAATAGTTCCTCAAGCTCATGCATGCAATGACAATAGGTGGTAACGAGAGTGGAAGAATAATGGGAAATAAGAAGAAATATATATAGTTTTTGTGAGAAGTTGAGAAGGTTTTGTAGCTTTATATGAGAGATAGATTAGACGTTGATCAAACATCTAAAGAAGACGATAAATAGTACTTGTATAATATACGTGCCAAAAAATAACAATTTTTTTTAATGAATTTAATATTTTTAATGAAAAAAATATATTTAAAATATTTTTACAAGTTAGATTGTTAAAATAAATTAAAAAACTTAAAAGATAAAATCAAAACTTACTTTAAAGTTAAAAGACACATCTTAATTTTGTAAAAAAAAAAATAATACTATAAATATTATTAGGATTTAACATTGTTATCAAATAAATATAACATGTTATCGTAATAATAGTTATCTTAGTATTGGTTATTAAACTTGTAATTTTAATTAAAATAAAATATTAATTTTAATGAAAGAGTAATAATTAGGATTCCGTCGAAGTTTACTTCCAAAATATCGAATAATAAACTTTGACATACTATGTTTTTATTTAATGACTAAGATATAAATTATAGATTTTTCTTAATTATCTTCATTGTATTATTATTACAAGAAATAATTTGGTAACTCATAAAATATTATTGAATAAACATATGTTCAAACTTAATTAAATTGCTATTTTAACTTGATATAGAGATTGTATTTTTTATTTATTTATTTTTTAGTAGCTTTTACATTGGAAGAATAATATAGTGGGAGAAATGAAGTATTTATCATATTTTAAATTTTATTAATATATTTAAGAAGAATAATTTTCTACTAATTTTAAACAAATTAACCCTTAAATCTACCTCTTTTTGAAGGATATCATGAGATTCACCATCTTTTAAGTAATACAAAATTAATGTCAATGATAATTGTAAGATGAACCATATAAATTGTGGTAGTATTATATGATATTGTAATGGTAAATAACTAACATAATTTACTTCTTTTGATGATAATAAATATATTCTTTGTGTTGGATTGAAAATAATTTTTTAGTGTCTCCACTTGTCATATTAAAACTTGAAATTTGATTGCTTAGAAATGATAAATTTTATTATAAAAAAATCAAGATTGATTTTCTTTGAATGTCTGTTCTATTATATACTTCATTTCATATGTAAAACTTTTTTCATGTAATCATATGTTATATTTGTGAAGCTAATTTAACAACTAATAAACTAATTTATTTAACACTTTTATTTAAAGATCAATCTCATCATCTAAATAATCATTTAAACATAGTTTTTAGAATTTTGTTTTTAAATACTTTATATATTTTATAGTTTATTTTTCAATTTTTTTTCTCAAAAAAACGTACTTAGTTGTCTCTTCATCCACGTCTAAGTTAAATTATTAAAAAAAAACTCATTTAATTTATACATATCAAATATTTTTTTTAAAATTAATTAAGAAAGTGACATCACTGACATATGATAGAAGACTCTCTTACAAAAATTTTGATAATATTAGAATACTAGATTAAATGTGCAAATATCGGATATATGATATAAAAAATATGTCTAGAAATACTTTTTCTTAAATATTTTTATTTAAAATCTCTTAAAATTTTTTAAAATTAATTATTTATTTAAAATAGAATAAACCAAACTTGGACTAAAACTAATGCATCCATGACAGGAGAAGAGATATTTTTTTTTACCTTTTTTTTTCATGATACATTTATTTATGTTCAATTTTTTTAATTTTATAAACCTATCCCAAAAGAACTGAATTATTATTATTTTTATAACATCGTCGTGGTATTTAGATATTATATTAGGCATCTAATTTGAATCCAATAAAATGATCATGAGAAACAAAAGTTTTTCTACTAAATTTTAATCTAATGATATTTTTAATAATTTAACTTGAAATTATTAGTTAAGTTTAAAGATTAATGAAATAAGTTAAAATAAAATTGTACTAATTGATTTATGTGTTTGCAGAGAACAATATTACTCATTTATAAAATTAAAAAGTGAATAATTTATTATTATTATTACTATTATTATTACATCCCCATTGTCCCTGGAAAGTGATTGAACTGCGCTCAGAACCACTGCAAGTGCAAGTAACAAACTAAAAACAAATAAAAAAAACGTATAGGCACAGGTACACAGCATGCCATCATAAAACATGACAATCGGATTGAGGGTTGAAAAGCCAAGGCAGCATTCAGTGGGTTGATGAATGGATAGATGAGTGGAGATCCTTTAATATGCTCTTCAGGATTTGACATCTGTCCACTGTCTTCCTTCTCTCTTACCACACTTCCCAAAAATCAAATGAAACACTCCGTTTTGTGTCCGTGTGTATTTTTTTTCTTTATAATTATTTTATCCTTTTAATAAAGTTAAAATATATCATTTTATCTTTCTATTTGTTTTATTTTAAAATATATTTAGATAGACAGTTTAATTAAATATTTATTTAATAAATTCTTATATAAAATTTATGACATAAATTTAATTCAAAAACTTTAAAATAAAAATTAATTCTAATAAATTATATTGTAAATTTTATTAAAAACAAGTTAAAAATTATAATTTTCCCCATAAATTCAATGTAAGCCATTCTAACTATCTTTTATATTGAACAAAAATTTATATAACTCATTCTATCCAATAAATAATTCTATACTAAATAAAATTATATATTATGTCTTTATTTTTTATATTAAAAAGTTATTAATCTGCTTAAAATAAAATTATTTATCCTATTAAATAATTTAGAAAAACTTTTATATATTTCATCCCTTTTAACATGTCTAATAAACATCAGCTACTTTTTGTTGTTCCTTGCCCTTTCCAAAACAATTTCCTACCTGTGAAAATTTCATATTTTTGTATTCATTTTCTATATATAAAAAATTGGGTTCATATTTCTCTCGCTTCCCCCTGTGCTTCCAATTCCCAACACCCATCCACCCACCCCACACCACACCACACCACACCACACCAGGTATGCATAATATCATATCATATAATATATGTGTACATAGAGAATATAATCAAAGAAAGGAACATAGCCGAGCTGTTATTATTTAATGGGTCAAGGTTAAGGAGAAAATTAAAATAAAATAAACACCCATTTCTTGGCTTTTGTTGTTAATGATGCGTTGTTCCTTTTTTTTTTTTTTTTTCAATCCATGGGTTTCAGGTGTCAAAGTGTGAAGAAATAAGAGAGAGAAAAGAGAGTGAGAAGGGAAGGAACCAGACCCTACACCGTTGACAAAATTAGGTAGTAACTAATCTTTTTTTTTTTCAATATTTTTTTTTGTTTTTTCTTTTCACTTCTTATACCTTCTTTTGTTCATTGATTTTGTAGTAATAATTATTACTAGAGAGGGCGTGAGCTTGTGATGTGTTTCCTCAGATCCAGGCAACTCATGTTGGTATGTGGAAAAGGGTGTCATCTTTTTATGGTTTCCTTGTGATTCTTGAGACTTTACCTTTTCTGGGTTTCTTTCTCATGACTTATTTCTTCTTTCATGTGTTTAGAGATAAGGGGTGTTGTTTTTTTTTCCTTCTTTTTGAAGTTTGGTTCTTTTTAATTGGTGGGATTTAGTCTTTGTGAGTGCAATATGTTATTGTGCAGATAAAGTTTGTTTTTTTTTTTGTTGGTTATAATGTTTTTCAGGGTGTTTTTCTCTCACTAGAGTTGACAAAGGTAGATAGAGGAGAGTTCAGAGGAGCAGTTGATAATGCTTGAAAAGGGTGTGTGTCATAGCTATTTATGATTAACATTTCCAGAAATGGAAGTTGGGATCCGTTGATGTTGACCAGATCTGACTACCCCATTTCACTTTCAATACCTTTTAGCTGATTCATGCCTTTGGCTAGTCCGAATTTGGCTCCTCTTTTGTCTTATAGGGCATCTTAGGAATGGAAAATGCCACCCTTCACATTCTAAGATCCTATTCAATCAGAAAAAGAGGTGATCAAGTAGTTGGAGTATGACAGGTTTTGTGATAGAAGGGGGGTGGGACGGTAACTTTTTGTCCTACCTAGATAGGGATTTTGATGGAGGTGATGTCGTTCGTGGTTGCAGTGCCATTAAGAGTAGGTAATTTGGTCTGTGATAACCCAACCACAGCTACCCACATGGATGTATCCGGATTTAAGCTGATGGCAGATACAGGGCTGTTATCTAATTCTGTGACTGTTTCCACGGTTATAGGTTCTGATGATTGTCATAATAGTTGCAGTTTGGAGGATGAAGTTGGTATTACTGAAGCTGTGCCACCAAAACAGGATAGGGAAGGAGAGAGTCCTTTATTGGATATGATATCCCAAAATAGAAGCTCTTTGGTTGCCAGTGATGAAGTGTTAATTGAGGAGGATGATTCATTGTCATTGGAAGGTGACCAGGTTGTTGATAGCTCATGTTCTCTTTCGGCAGTCAGTGAGAACAGTAGTGTGTGTGGAGAGGAGTCCTTCAGTTTTGATGCCGCTTCAGATGTTGGGACACCGTGTTCCACAGACGTAGAGAAGAGCATCTGTGCTGTCAATATTGTTGCCCCCCAGGCAGTTGGCTTGGGGGAGTCGAATGCTGACACCGATATTATGAGTGAACCTCTTGCTGTGGCAGTGAGTCTTGAAGAAGAGACTGGAGTTGGATCTTGCCCAAAGCCTTCTACAGTTGTTCTTAATCAGTTCCCTCAGGAAAAGGGTGTGAGTGGAACTGTTGGTCGGAGTGTTTTTGAATTGGATTATACTCCACTTTGGGGATTCATATCTCTCTGTGGAAGAAGACCTGAGATGGAAGATGCATTTGCCACTGTTCCTCGATTTTTGAAAATTCCCATTCAAATGCTAGTTGGTGACCAGGTGCTTGATGGAATGAACAAGTGTTTTAGTCAGCAGATGACCCATTTCTTTGGAGTCTATGATGGCCATGGTGGCTCTCAGGTTAAGTTTATTTTTATTCTTTATTATTATGATTCTTGTGTCCAATGTTTTTAGCTTTATCTCTAGTACCCTTCAACAGAGCTTGCTTTCCTCGTTTAGGTGGCAAAGTATTGTCGTGATCGTATCCACTTGTCCTTGGCTGAGGAAATAGAATTTGTCAAAGAAGGTCTAATTAGTGGAAGTATCAAGGATGGTTGTCAAGATCAGTGGAAAAAAGTTTTCACCAACTGTTTCTTGAAGGTTGATGCTGAAGTTGGAGGAAAAGTTGGTAATGAACCCGTTGCCCCAGAAACTGTTGGCTCCACTGCAGTTGTTTCTGTAATCTGTTCATCTCATATCATAGTTGCAAATTGTGGTGATTCAAGAGCGGTTTTATGTCGTGGCAAAGAACCCATGGCATTATCAGTGGACCATAAAGTAAGCTACTCAATTTGTAGTTTTGGGCCATGTTTAAAATCTTAAAATTTTGACTGATTTTTTGTTGTGGTATGTTAGCCAAACCGAGATGATGAATATGCAAGAATTGAGGCAGCTGGAGGAAAGGTGATTCAATGGAATGGCCATCGTGTATTTGGTGTTCTTGCAATGTCAAGGTCTATTGGTATGTAATTCCTTAATCTTAAATTTTACTTTCTTTGGGGTGGCTCTCTTGTGGGCTAGTTTGAGTTTCATTGAAGTCCTTTTGTGGGAGTGATTACAAGGACTTCCCTCTCTCAAAACGTTAGTTGTTATTATCTTTACCAATGGAAAAATATATGCTAATTGCATGTTTGTACTCTAATCTCTAATGGATCTGATTTACTTGAAATACATAAATATCTAGTCTAACAGTAATAGTGAAAAGGTGAGAACTCCTTCCTTTCATTTTTTTGACAAGTAAGCTAGTATGATGATCTTGAGTGATCCATGTAGCCAAACACACCTCGTGGGATAAGACTTTGTTGCTGTTGTTATTGTTGTAAGCTATTTTTTTAACTTGAGTTAGTTGGATGCTGCTAATATTTAGAAGATAGTTTCGTATTTATCTGAAAATGAATAGTAGGAAACTGTACTTACTTTTTTAATATTATAGCAGGATTATAAATTTATCTTTTAAAATCATTTAAGAATATGTTTGAATGAGGGGCAGTGAAGGAGATGTAAAAGGAACAGAATGAAAGAGAATAATTCCCTGATTTAGGAATTTAATCTGTGGGACGGAATTGAATGTGAGGGGAATCATTCCTCTGAAAATAACTTTTTGTTCCCCTATGAATTGGAATAATGGGAGAGACTATCTTTACTTTTATTTTAAAAATTTGTCATCTACAAATTTTCACCTCACAAGTTTGGGTTACTTTGAAGTTTGCAAGGGTTATATTGAAATCTTATACATAGACCGTTTACCTTTCCCTTTATTCCCTTATTAATCCTCCAAGCACAGGGAAGAAAATTTTTTCCATTCCTTCCAGTTCTTTCTAAAACATATGAACATAGCCCTTTTGCTCTCGAATGTGCAATAATTATTGGAACATAAACTACACATCATGAAGCTATAAGCTCCTCTGCGCTTTATTTTTGGTTTTCATTATACTGACTTTGTTAGGTTTTGTTAAGCTAAGCCCAAAGATGATAATTTGACAACTAGATGTCAAGAATCCAGAGCTAACAATAACAAAACAAGGCTTTCATGTATTATGGCAAGAGATTATGATTATTTGCACATTTAGGTAATAAGCTCACAGAAAATATACCAGTATAGGCAATTTAGCTTTGTTATTTCTCAGGCCAAAGGTTGGCAGAGGCAATTTTGAAGTAGGAGCTCTAGTGCCTCCTTTCATACACTCCTTTTCATGTTGCACCTTTCTGTATGCACATGGGGCTTGATCGCAAGTGAAACAAGACTCTTGTTCTTTTGTTCTAATAATGAAAGTTATACATCTGATTGAAAACAGTTGCTATCTTTTTGTTCTATGCAATGACTATTTTCTTTTTGTCACTGATTTTGGCACCAATTATTTGTAGTAGTAGGATAATATCAAAATTTTAAATGTCTAACACTGCACCAAAGGTCTTAAGAGGATTAAATACTCAAATTTAGTTTAGATTTGAATGGATAATGCTTTAGCATCATTTTTGTTTGCTCTACAGCGTACAAGTTTATTTTTTTGTCATGCAAAATGATGATCAACTTGCTTGTCTAATCCTGCAATTATTATGCAGTGTTTATTCAGCTGAAAAATTATTTCTGCTTATCCTCGCTATGACTTTCAGGTGATAGATATTTGAAGCCATGGATTATTCCAGAACCAGAAGTTACGTTTCTTCCACGCACAAAGGATGATGAATGTCTCATTTTGGCCAGTGATGGTCTGTGGGATGTTATGTCGAATGAAGAGGTGTGTGACCTCGCTAGGAGACGAATACTTCTCTGGTACAAGAAAAATGGCATGGAACTACTCTCAGAAAGGGGAGAGGGAGTTGATCCTGCTGCACAAGCAGCAGTCGAGTGCCTGTCAAACCGCGCGCTTCAGAAAGGAAGCAAAGATAACATCACAGTGATTGTGGTTGATTTGAAACAAAGAAAATATAAGAGCAAGACATGATGATGATGATGATTTCAACTGCACTTGGTATTATTTGAAGATGAGATTATACAATAGAAAAGCTTAATATAATCCAATATAGTTTTGCCCTCTAATTTTTCATCAGGGCATTTCCCTTAGATTAGCACTGTGCTATAATACATATCCACCTTCCCTATTACTCTTATTAACTAATTAAGGGTCTCCTTGTTCACTATGCTACATTGGGGACTAGTTCCATGCCTTTGACATCTATCATCAGCATATATTGTATTCATTATCATTATTATTATGCCTCTGAGAACAAAGGCTCTGTGAGGCATTTACTTTAATATTATTTTAGCTTGTGTGTTATAAAGAAGCATTAGCTAGCTAATTGGCAAGAGTGGCTTTCAAGTTGTGATCCACTGTCACAGGTTTTTTTGTTCCATATTGTGGCAAATGGAGCCAAGTCAAGAAATTTGTTGTCGGTGGTGGATTGTTATCAATGGCCATGATCCAAGTCCAGTGGTTACACTGCAGCAATGATGGTGGGGGGACAAGGATAGACAAGGGTGCCTAAGAAGAATCCCAGTTCCTTTATTCTTTTTTTGGGGTCTATGAATGGTGTACCTGTGCATAATATTGTGGTATTCCACCTAATTCTGAAAGCAACTAGTTGTAAATAGGCAATTGGCTTATCAATTAACTTGTGCACTCTGATGCATTCTTCTTTCTAGGGATATTTTATTTTCGTTTACTACTAAGTTTTTATGACCAAAAATTTAGTAAGGTTGTGATATACGAGTTTTCTCGTGTGAGCCAAATCCAAGGTAGGTTTTTCTTTCATCTAATTTAAATTGAAGTCATAGGGATTGGCCATTTAATTTAACTATAACAATTTTATAAGTAAACATATTTTTTCCTTTCAAGAAAAGGAATTCCTTTATTAATTTGATCAGTGAATTCTTCGAAAAGCCAAGTAGAAAAATGTTTTTTCATATGAAAAAGTTTTACCTGCGTGTAAATAAATGTTATATTCCTTCCCTAGTGCTTTTTCTAAGGCTGGATTCTCTGCATTATTAGTATCTTAGGTTTGTAATCTAGGTTTTTGTTTTGTTTTGGGCTTTTAAGCCCTGTTTAATACGTGGCTAAAGGATATTTATTTTCCAAGCCTTTTTAAAATGGGAAATGCTAATTGCTGATCAAAGGTACTGGTTTAGAAATAAAAATAAAAATTATTGAAAAGTATTAATACATTTTTATCATATTTTTAACGTAATTTACACTTGTTTTTTATTTATTAATTTATAAATTAATTTCCTAGTCTTTAAAGTGATTGTGTCTTATTGACTCGTCATAAAACATCTTTTGCATAATTTTTGCTTAGTTTTGTTTTTGAATCTCAAGTTACTATCTTCGTATGCATAAAAACATTTCTAACAATATTATAACAAAAGTGATAGTTCTCCAAAATTTCTGGCAACTTTCTTGTATGAGTAATAATTACAATTTCTAGCAAGTCTTTTAGTAATATTCATACGGGTTCCCCAGCACCCCAATTTTTTTTAGCAGCTCAAGATCAATAATTCGTAATTTGGAAAATCCTTTAACTGTTTCGTCCGTATAAAAATATGATCACCTATCTTCAATTTTAAGTTTTCTTTTCCCATCTTTTTTTTTTTCATTTTTCTTTTCTAACTTAATAGGCATCAAAACGTTATATTTTATTTTAAAGATTTTATTAACTTCAGCCTTAATAATAATAAAAATTTATTTTAAAAAATATTTATTATATTTTTATAACTTTAATATAATAATAATAATATATTTTTTTAATAAATTTTTTTATTTATAAATGCTTAAATTCAATCCTAAAAATTAAGATTAATAAAACTCTTATTTTAAATAAAGTTAAAATCATTTCTTAAACATTAAAGCTTGGAATTGACTTGAAAGCGTCTTGACTTGTATTATGCCTTATACCCTAAGAATCCTTTATTTTCATGTGCCTTAATGAGAGCCCAAAATTTAAAAGCTAAAAAAGGTTCTCATAAATCTTATGCCGGTTTCTGTTCATTCACATGTTTCAAAGTCAAATTTCTTTGCATCCTCTGGCAAACCAGAATATAGTAAGATCTTTATTCGATATTCAAAATCGTAAAAACTGGAGAAGCCTACAAGGTTCCTTGGGAAGGAACCCCTTGAAAACAACCTCGAATCAGAAAACAGCCTCGTGATCCCCCTAGAGGTAACATTTTACTTTAATTGTATCGGAGACTTGAATAATCATGTCTTAAGAGAGCATTTTTCAATTTTCTTATCTAGACGTAACCTTTTACTTTGTTCTTGACTTTGGGCTGAAGTTAATTTATTTATCTAAGTTTTATATCAAAAGAATTAAAAAAAACCCTAAAAAAAGGAAGAGGGAGAAAAGTCTTAGAAATACAACGATATAGAACAATTTTTCTTATCATAACATCTAATTCGTTGATTGTACTGAAAAACTTGAGTAGTTATGTATTAAGAGAAATTTATAATTTTGTTTGTACAAACTTGTAAGGGAGAAGATTTTATATTCTTTTACAAAAATTATAAAATAATAAAACGATGTCACATTAAATTTTTATGTATTTTTCCCCTTCTTGTGTAGTTGTTTTTGTAGTTATATGTGAATACTTAACATTGGATCATGACATTTATTAAACTATTTTACTAGATGATGTGTATGTAAATAAATGTCATATTTCTTTTAAAATAAGAACCAGTTTTTTAACGTGCACCTTGCACAGGATAAATTCTAATAATACACCACTTAATCAATCTGTGCAAGATTACATAAATTAGAAAACCCCAAATAAAAAATATACAAAAGCTCCATAAGTGTAGAGATAACCTTAATTTTAGCCGAACGTAAGTGGCAATTTTAGATTATGGCACTTCAAAATTTAATGTGATTGTGATACATTTTGCTCTTTTTCTGGACACTCGCTATAAATTTTACTTTTTTTAATTTTTTTTTCATGCAAATTCCCTCCCCCCACCCCCCTTTTTTGTCAACTGACAATAAATTTACTCTTTTATTTTTTTCAACAGACTATAAATTTACTTCAAGAATGTCAAAATTTCCATCAACACGTCATAAATGAAATATGACCCAATGTTGTTTGTCAACATTAAGTAGGTGAAGCAGCATAGCTGAGCTGTGGAGTGCAGAAGGCAGCGACATCATTTCATATTTTCAATGTTAAGCTGTGCAGTCAAAGTTTACATTTTTTTTTATTCTTTGACTAATTCTGACATGTACAAGTCTACTATACATAAATATGATTAATTAAAAACTTTAAATGTTTTAAAACAATGATAAAGAGGTATCGGGGTCTATACTAAAATATTTTACCATATTAAATTACTATTTCATTATAATTATAAATATTATGACCAGACAAAATATATTCGCATAATTGTTGAATGAGAAATCTTCTCAAAGCTTGACTTTGAATTGGAGGAATGTTATGAAAATGTATTGATAGAGTGAAATTGACTGCTGTCGTTTTGTGGGGGCAAAGATAAGTAAACTATGTGAGAATTTTTAAGAGTTGTTAGAGGAAAAAAAAATTCTATTAATTTTCTATTTTTATAATATAAAATTATTATATTATTTTTTATTTTAAATATTTATACAGGAAATATCAAAATATTTTTTTTATAATTTCTTATACAAATATTTAAAATAAGAAAAAAATGAAAAAAGTAAATTTTTTAATAGTATATGAAATTCAAAATTGAAGAAAAAAATAATCCTAAGTTATCTATTATTTGAGAAATACTAACAATATATTTCTAATATTTTTAATATAATTTTCATTGTTAGATAAAATTTATTTAAATCTCTCTAAATGAATGACGTAAATTTCACCTATTAATGAGTCTCATTTATTCCCCTTGTTCTATCTTTTCAGTAAATATTTTGTTTCAATTTGTTTGTCCTTTTAAAAATTTAAAACAACATTAATTGTATTTATATAAATTATGCTCTTATTTCCACCAAATTCTAAAAAAGATATTTAAGCCTAAACTCAATAAATGTCCAAAAAAATAAGCCTACGATGGATAGAAAAAATAATAAGTATAGGGTTAGGTACAGATTTTTACATGCAATATTTTATGACAATGGATGTCAGATAATTAGTATTCACCTTACTCGTACTAGCATATTATTAAATATATTAAATTTAAAATAAAAATAAAAACAAAGTTACAATTCTCACAAATTTGAATTCACAACTTATAAATAATATTTTAAAAGTTATTTTCATCTCAAAATTAAAAAAACTCTAAGTTCTCCTTGTTATTATGTTGTCTAACATCATCTTTGTAGTCAAGGCTATGCCATTGTGACTTTACTTCATCTTGACATTTGCTTTTAGGAACAATTTGTTACAATTTTATCTAAGGGTATTTCAATTAGGTATTGTTTTATGCTACTTCATCTTAAATATGATTTTATCTTAAGTTTTTTTTTTTTTTTTTTTTTGCCTTATCTTTAATTAGGATTATTGATAAATCTGTATTTTGACCTACATTTATAGTTGATATATTTATGTTTGACTTTTATTTTATTTGAATTTTACACTGATTTATATATTAATTTTGCAGTTTAGCATAAGAAGGCTACAATTGGGTTTAAGTCGCATTTTGGGCTTAAATTTGTTGCAAAATAGAGCTTTGCAGCGGTCAACACGCCTAAACCTTAGAAGTAAGTACGTAGTGCTTCAAGCCTAGATACGACCGTGCTTATGACCTTGCACAGCTATGCTTATATGCGGCAAGCCCAAGTATAAAAAGTTTTTAAACCTATTAAAAAGAAACCTTAGACATCCAATTTATTATGCCGTTCTACATCTTGTCCTTAATCTATGATACACCTCTATATATTTGTTTACCCTCGACCCCTTAGCATACTCTTAACTAGACTTGAGACTTCAAGCGATCGTAATTGAAGACCATAAATTCATCTAATCTCTAGTTTACTATTTCACTTGATTATGACTTTGTTTATTAATGTTTTAGTTCTTTTATTTAGCATGAGTAACTAAGTCTATTATTAGAATAATGAGAATTTTTATTTATGAATTTATGAAATTTTAAAGTTTAAATCTATGTTTGATTTTCATTTATGATTAGTGATTATCCTATTGTATAACCCCAATTAATTATATCGTCAGACAACCGTACTTCGATTAGTTAACAAATCTATAAGATAAAACAAAACAAATAATTAGGTGGATCAAACTAATCTTTCTTTTTCAATCGTTGAATATATATATATATATATATATATATATATATAACCCCAATTAATTATATCGTTAGACAACCGTACTTTGATTAGTTAACAAATCTATAAGATAAAATGAAATAAATAATCAGGTGGATCAAACTAATCTTTCTTTTTCAATCGTTGAATATATATATAATCAAATTCAATAAGCAATCAAGTTATTATCCTAAAGTTCATTTCTGATGGAGAAAGAACAAAGAAACTGTCCATTTTCACTGTAAAGAGGTAAGCTTTGGAGAAGTATTTTACTGTGTAGAGTTGATTTAATTTAGTCATGCAAAAAGCACAAAGGGAGATCATTAGGTATCACTCTAGGAGGAGCAATGAAACAAAATCACTAGTAGACTAACTTTAGGATGTGAAAATAGAATAGTAAACAAATTA